GTCATCGCGGAGACTCGCGCTTATCACGGAAGTGCTAGCGAACGTGCACTCGTCTAGAATCCACAATAATTCAGCTCCATTCCTTCGCGGAATTGAGCGGAACTGGCCTGAAACGCTCGCATCCGGTGACTGAAGTCGTCGACGTGCCGCGTCCGCGAATAATATATTCTATAGCATACTGTTCATTATGATAGAAAGCCACAAGGGCGTAAAAAATTAATTTTCTATAGAATGAAAATGATCAAAAAACAATCTTAAATTAATAATAAATTATAGTTAAAAAACCGAAGATTTTTGAACGTTGAAAAATATGTTTATATTACGCAATTTTACATTTTATTCATTACTTTTGCAGTGAATATCGCATTGAATATGTACGATCAATATTACGAGTCGTCATTGTGACAATTATCTCTTAATGCACCGTGCAAACATTACGTCGCAAACATCAACTAGTCCCTCGCAAAATTTGTATCTTGCACAAGCAGCAGCAACTAATTGTACCAGCCTGTGCTCGTCAGTTTCAAATATGCTATCGTTGATGCTTTTATCAGCTTTTTTTTTATCAGTGTAGGAAGTAATTTTTGTATTTGCAGAGAGTATCTTCGGTTATCGATTATACTTTTATTATTTGTTTAAATTTTAACACCAGCGAGTGATGACGATATCAATAGATACCTCAAGTTTGCGGAAATTATAGAATTTAGAAGAAAACTATTTGAGACTGTTAGCTGTTTATATTTTATAATAAAAATATTTGAGAATATTTTATTAATGTTGTAGTAATTTAAGAACGGCAGGACATTCTTAAATTTTATCTAGCTCTTACTATAACAAAAATTTGTTTAATAATTTACGGAAGATAACGATGTGATAAGAATAGAACGTTGCAAGAAAATGATGTTTAATTGCCTTGACGTCATCGTTGCTTCATGCGAGATTCAAATATTTACTCTCCGTTTTTGCAAGATGAAATAAATCATTATGTAAGTGACGCAGTTACGATAATTAAGAAATGTGATAAAAACAAGGCCGCGCGACCGTCATTGAACAGTCTTGACAAAGGCTCAACGTCATTATCTTATGACTGCGATCGTCAAAAATGCAACTACGAATCATTATCACTCGTGCCACCGAATACCCGGTGTCGCGATAATTTTATCACGCTCGAGGATATTCGAGAAATTCGCTATCGCAAAGCTCGAGATTGCAATCACTTATCATTTGTTCTTGACAAGTTGTATCATTTCTCTCTAAGCAACGAGATAAAATGAAGAATTTCCTGTCCTGGCAACCCGTAATGGCAGGGTTGATCATAAATTAAGGGTTTCATTAATTATCGAGATACAATTTTCAAGAACGAAATCTAAAAGTATAAAAGAAAATAAATTGCATTTGAATATGGCCATACCACACATTTTTTATGTTAAATATAACCATTTTGATGAAAATTTTTTCATAATAGCATCACACGTACTTTATGACATAGAACAAGATTGCATATCGCGTTAAATTTACATCATGGTTGCTTTCTTCACGTCGACGACACTTTGGCGCGGCCCTTTTATATCCCTGACAAGTCTTTTCAACGGCCTCCGCGAGGTTGAAGAGGCAGGCAGTGAAGTGGTGGACGCGAGGCGCAGTAACGAGTCTTTTGAATAGCCGCCTCTCGCTTCCGGCTACAATAACAACGATAATTCCGAAGAATAACACGTTTACGCAAACTGAAAGACAGGGAATTCACGGAATTAGCTCGTTATTTCATCGCAGCACGGTCAAGCCGCTTTTAGCGCTGAATGTAATAATCAATACACATGATTATATCTAAAGAAATCGTATCAAGTAAAATTTTATTTATAAAATTAATGTCAACAGAATAATGAATAATAAAATCAAACGAGTGAATGTAACTTTAAGGGCTGGATATTAGAATAACAAAGTATCTAAAATTTGCAAGTAAAATGAGGTCATCGTCTGCTTGAATGCAACTGTTACTCGATTTTTATTTATTCTTTTACAGGTGATTTTTACATATGTAAAATGAAAGTCAGAATTGAACGATGACTTGAATTTTAATGCGCGAAGATTGAAAAAACGAGCTACCTTCGCGAAATTGATAACAAACGACGCTATAAAGAAACTATAACACCGCGATAATACGAAGCTACGTGTCTAGCAAAAGTCGTTACCAGCGCGCATAAGTCTCGATGCGCTGGCGTATGCACAGCTGATTGGACGAAATGACATCTTACAATCTGTCACACCTCCATCGCCGTCCATCCGGTCGGGTAATCGGCTATTTTACCACCCACCCACATCGTTCGCGTATTCAAATTGGGACTTGAGGCCCCGAGAGAATTATCCGGACATCCGGATTGTACGTTCGGAGAATTATATAATAATCTCGAACTCGCATTTTCGAATATAAATTCAGAATGCAACAAATCGGGGTCTCTGAACAATATTGACGGGTGGAAATAATATCGGGATATGTATTTAGATTGAAGTGTATTATTGTATTGACATTGATTCGTAGTATTAAGAACTTAGGATTTCAATTAGAATTGTTGATGCTGTCGAAGGTCATCAAGTTACATATAAATACCGTCCACGCTAGGATTGACTTGCACTCTAGCAATGCTATCGATTTTACGAATGCGAATGCGATTGCAGCAGAGTCCGTGCTAATATGCTCTCGCGACTTCGACGTGCTCGAATGAACCCCGTTCAAATCGCCGAAATACCGGATGCTGACATTTCACTCTACTAATTTGATAGCAAGCTATTCTAAATATTGAACAGCGAGATTGGAGAGCGAGCTATTGCAAATTCAATTCTTGTTTCCGCAGCGAAAATATGGTTTTAAATATGATCAAATTACTTCATCTAATATTAATATCCACTAATTTCATCGTCGATAGTTTATTACATTACTGTTTCATTATTAGCAATTTGGATGAATTTCAAAATGCCTTGAAAAATAGCTATTCAAAGATATTCCAGCATTACGTTGGAGCAGTGATTTATTAGCGCGGAAACTCGGTAAAGCGAAAGATATAAATTTTGCATCGCTAAATATACTCAGCTGTATCTTTCTAAATTCTCAGCGTTTTCCAACTTCATTATGCAATGTCTGAAAATTGCCAAACTGATTGATAAAAAAAAAAAGACTGAAAAATCAAACCGTTTTCGCGTAGACATTATTGCAACGCTGATACACGTTTAGTACAAATATCGGCATTGTTTCAGAATCTTTTGTCAGCATCAGCCGTCTGCGACACATTTTAATTGTAATTTTGAAATGCAATTTATTCGCCAATATTATCATTATCGTTCGCTATTATTCAGTTGATATTACACGAGTGCGCAGGGAGAGAGAGACTCGGAGGCGGCAATCGGGGTCCGAAAATTGCGAGAGGGCGCGAACGCATCGGCGCAGGGCGAACGCAACGCACACGCGCGCGTGTGCGTGCGCGAGTTTCCTCGCTCGTTCGTGCCGGCGGGCGGCTGCCAGCACCGGTGTGGGTGTAGGTGCGTGCTATCGACCGGGTATCCTTCTGTGCCGCTGGACGGGCGACGTGCCCCACCCTGAAGAGAGTAGGGAGCTCGGGTTCGAGCGAGCGAGGAAGACGCGTGTCGGTCGCGCGAGGGACAGAGATAACGAGCTGAAGGAAGAGAGAATGAACGGGAAAGAGAGAGAGAGAGATCGTGGCACGCAGAATGCCTCCTGCTTAGTGATAGCGTAGAGACTGTAGTGTTCACATCACACCACACACCCAAACCAAAATTCTCGTCACCGGTTCAAGGAAAGTTCGATATTGTATATCCGCACAAATTAGTTAGTTGTTTCGCGCCGCACGTACACACACACATACACGCACGCACACCGATATCACTGGTACACGCGCACACATACACACCTAACGTATATATATTTTGTACACATCGCGTCGCGACAAGCTAGAAGGGCGCGCCCGGCCGAAAATCGGACGAAGAGAAAGGAAAGAGCAGCCGCGCGGGAAACGTGTGACTGATTCTCATCGAGGAATTCACGAGGAGGTGGTGCCTCACGTTTTTACTCTTCGTTTCGTCTAACCGAACAAACCGACGTTGCTCGACGTTCGCGGCTCGCGTTCTTCACCCCGGCTCGCCGGGAGCGCAGACGAGACCTTTCACCTCGCCGGCTGAAATTTTCCGCGTGACTTCGCCTAGCCTTTTATCTACCGAGATAACGAGATTTCTATATAATGTAATCTTCCTTTTACGGAGCTGGAGTGAGATCAGTGCTGTGATGACTCATCCATCGATTTCTTCACGTAAATCGTAAATATAGATCTGGCGTTCTCTAACATTTCGCCCGGCAGAATGATGACAGAGTGATGTCACAGTGATGTCACAATGCGTTCTATTGGAGTGCGTGTGACTTGATGTGACAGCCGGCTCTCGATAGTCGCAATTATACGTCTTCTGCCATTGTCATCTTTGCATTATAGTGGGATAAATTTCACTTGATGTAAGATTGATTATGTTACTCGACAAAATTACAAGAGAATTCTTAATCATTTTTATAACGACTATTTGATCATTTTCACAATTTGATATAATTATGAGTGGAATTATTCTTATAATTTTTTAATTATTTTTGTAACAATTAGTAGTTTTTTCTTTATCGCTACACTTAATCTATATTATTTAACACTATAGAATTCCAAAGTATAGAGATATTTTCATCCCTATTTTTTTTTCCAACTCTTTCAAGTGATATTAGATATATCTCTTTTGAAAACCTGTTGATTATTTAATCGACATTTCTATTAGTGAATTAGTTGGGAAAATAAATAAAGAATATTTTTTTTCTCTCGCAAAGAGATATCTAAATTTTAGAAATGTGTGATTGAATTCTATGAATTTATAATATTTCTTCTTTCAACGTTTAAAATCTACGCTTGGAAGAGTTAAGAATCCCTTCTCTAAATCCATCCATGAGACGGCTCGCGGAAAATCGCGCTCGGGGAAATTAGTCGGCCGGTGTCGGTGCGCGAACGCGTGTCGAGCGACGAGCGAGCTTCCGTAACGCGACGAAATTAACGCGAGGACTAACTCCAGGCACCACCGCCTCGTGCATCATTAGCAGAGAACACTTGGTTCGGAGCGGTGAGACACGCGGGAGAGCCGGAAGGGTAGTAGTAGTAGCAGCAACGGCGGCGGTGGCGGCGGTCCAGTAGCAGCAGCCGGAAAGGGCAGAGCAGGCACACGCATCGAGGAGGGTCAAAACGCACGAGCAGTTGAAGAGAGGAAAGGTCTCTCGACCGCGACCTTCGACCCTCGACCTACCGCGAGTTAAACGAGCTCCCGAAAATCCCCCGAGCCGAAGATAATCGTCGGAGAGGATTCGCCGGGATTCCATTTTCGCGACCAGGAAGAAAGAAGGAAGTGCAGTGCAATCGCGGAAGTAGCGAGGGGAAAGGACGGAATCGCTCACGAGGACGACTTGTCACCACGACTCTCTCTCTTTCTCTCCGTCCACACCCGCGTTTCTCTTTTTCTCTCATTCGCCTTGTAGTTTCGTGCACCGGAAGCGCGCACTCGACTTCACGCTAATTCGCTTTTATTGCGGCGCGGTGCGGAAGCTGAAATACGAAAAAGACTGATTTTGTGCGTTTAAGAGCGATTGCTTCGTCGAGACTGCTTCTGCCTTCTTGCACAATCGCTCTCTCTTTCCGTCTGTCTGCGTCTTTTGCTCGTCGGGGGCGTCGTCTTTATCGTTTTAAGTCTCCTTGTCGTCGCAGCGTCATGGGCGGATGTACTTCGAAGGATACCACGTCAGGCGACGAGTATGTATGCGAGAGAAAGTTTCCAGCGAGATAAGAAAGTCCATCTTTTTTTTTTATCTTTCACTTCCCTTCCTTATCTCCTTGTATCAATCTCTTGTCAACTTTTCTTCCTTATTTTTTTCCGTTTTCACTATCAGAATATCTCAATTTTAGGTATATTGATATTTTAATGCAACTGTTGCATCATCAATATTAATATACTTAAAATACTTGAAATTATATATTATACTGTTATTAATAATACATTAAGGAATGATAGGAATTTAATAATTTAAATCTTTGACCATTCTAGAGATACTTTAATGAGAATATGACGGCTGGATATCGCGAAATTAATATACGTTTAAGCATTTGATAATATATTAATGGGATTTTAAGGATTTTGGACATTTCAGGAAGTAACTTTTAGAGAAACTTTAATAAGAATCTAACAGAGCCAAGAAACTCACGAATTTTTAGACATCAGCGACTTTCTGTGAGCTCTCGTTTTTTATAATTCTTCAACGAACTTGCCAGGCTGGATCTTTCTCGGGTTTATGACATCTCCGGATTTTTGCGCGGCATCTTCGTAGCGATGGTTTAACATGACATGATGCCCGCCTCGCACGTGTTCCGCGTAAAGGATTTCGCATGAGCTCTAGACTGTCGTCTCTTCTCATTCGAATCAACGCGACGATCGGCGCATAATTGTATCTCGACGAGCGATGGGCGGCATATGCTCGTCGCTGGGTATATGCGAGTCGGCGGACGACCAACAAACCGTCCAACAGACTGACAACGTCGACAACAACGTCGACAACGTCGACAACAACGTCGACGACGTCGACGACGACGACGACGTGTACGTATGTTGATTCGGCCCTCGACCCTAGGATGCATTCCGCGAGCTGCATTCCATCGCAATAAATTTACAAGCTCGTTGAGAGTTGTCAATCTATACATTCAATCCTATGAGTAATTCTTTTCACGGACAAACGTTGCATTCAGATCTTTATTTACGCCGTATCTAATTTTTTACTTGTCATTTATCGCGGTGCATCCTAGAGTTTTAGCAGAGAGAAGCACGCCATGCACCAACAACGAGGTACACGTTGATGCACCGAAGGAATTAAAAACTGTGCGCGAAATAGATATCAAAGAAATTAGAAATACGTGTAAGTAATATCGTGCGGTTGCTGGAAAGATTAACTGATACGTGTCGCTAAGATGATTCAGGACGGAATTGTGATCCGATTTGATCTCGGATTAGTGCCAGGTGTTAAAGTCAAGACAAGATGACAGATGTTGAAATAATTTGCACTTCTAATTAAATAATGTCACAGGAATGCAATTACCTGGCTGTACGCATTTGCAGCATCCCATTTTAATCTTGATTAATTTTTAAAAGCTGCAACGAGCAAAATAAAAGAACATTATTAAATAAAAAATTAATTTTAAAATTCGAAGAAACTAATCTTAAAATTGATCTTAAAAAATTAAATTAAAAAAAAAAAAAAAAAAAATTAATTAAAAAGTAATCTGTTATTAAACAAAGTCCTTTGATTGTGTTATTATAAAATCTATATTATTTATTATTTTACATTTTTATAATGAAGTATTTTTCATGACTAACATATTTCTTCAACATCATGTTACAGTAAAAAAGGCAACAATATGGTGGATGCAGCTGTTCTGGACAAGCTGGAAGCTGGCCACGCCAAGCTGGCGGCATCTGACAGCAAGTCGCTGCTGAAAAAGTATTTAACGAAGGAAGTCTTTGATCAGCTCAAGACCAGAAAGACCTCGTTCGGCTCCACTCTTCTGGACGTCATCCAGTCTGGTTTGGAGAATCACGATTCTGGCGTCGGTATCTACGCGCCTGATGCTGAGTCGTACACCGTCTTCGCTGAGCTCTTTGATCCCATCATCGACGATTACCATCAAGGCTTCAAGAAGAGTGATAAGCACCCGCCCAAAGACTTCGGCGACGTCGACTCCTTCGGCAATCTTGATCCGACTGTAAGTTTTTTCTTAGAAATTTTATTCCTATTATAAATTCTTGAATTGACAAGATATTTATATTAATATTATATGAAATTAATATGAATTAAATGATTTTATCTTCAAAAGTTAATAAGGATAGAATTTTATATTTTTTAACATTGCAAAAGGTAAAAACTATACAATTTTTATAACAAATTATTAAAAATTCCTCTCATTTCAGGGTGAGTACATCGTATCCACTCGCGTGCGATGCGGCCGCTCCTTGGACGGATATCCCTTCAATCCATGCTTGACCGAGGCTCAGTATAAGGAGATGGAGGAGAAGGTGTCTAGCACGCTGTCAGGTCTCAGTGGTGAACTAAAAGGCACCTTCTACCCGCTCACTGGCATGAGCAAGGAGGTGCAGCAGAAGCTGATTGACGATCACTTCCTCTTCAAAGAGGGCGATCGGTTCCTCCAGGCTGCGAACGCCTGCCGCTTCTGGCCCACTGGACGTGGCATCTTCCACAACGACGACAAGACCTTCCTGGTCTGGTGCAACGAGGAGGATCACCTCCGCATTATTTCTATGCAGATGGGCGGTGATCTTGGACAGGTAAAACTATTTAGAAACGATAATTAATCCAAGTTAAGTGAGATAACTTTATAATCTCTTAGGTATTCTAAATTTTTTAATTTCGCCTTGGTTTCACATGCGACTATGTTTCATTAATATCAATTATAAATCTTCGCCTAAAGATCCAAATCGCTAAATATCAGGCTAAATGTCAACAACAGTATTATAATACAATTTTAGCGTTGCAGGACGTCAAAGTAAAAATTTTTTCATATTTACTAGGTTTATCGACGCCTGGTGTCGGCGGTGAATGAGATCGAAAAGAGGCTGCCGTTCTCGCACAACGATCGCTTCGGCTTCCTGACGTTCTGCCCGACGAACTTGGGAACGACGGTGCGTGCCTCGGTGCACATTAAGGTGCCGAAACTCGCGGCGAACAAGGCCAAGCTCGAAGAGGTCGCAAGCAAGTACAATCTACAGGTGCGCGGCACTCGCGGCGAGCACACTGAGGCCGAGGGTGGCATCTACGACATCTCCAACAAGCGACGCCTCGGTCTCACCGAGTACCAGGCTGTGAAGGAGATGAACGACGGCATTGCCGAGCTCATCAAGCTCGAGGCCAGTCTTTAAATCCGCCTCCCCCCGACATCTCGTATCCGTACCCTTCATCGTAGCCTATTGGACGCCGCTGTATTACGCGACGTCATGCTGGAAGCTGTGTCTATGGCGTAAAGATTTTATTCTGAGAATATAAATCGCGAGAGCGACGATTTGGAGAATCGTCTGACGACGATTTAACGCCGGCGGCATCGAGTTTCTCAGCTGTTTTATCGCGCGTTTCCCGTCTTTATACATATAAATATTATAATTAGCGCTGTGTTTAATATGATGTAGGTTGACCTCTCTCGTGCCCTGTCATTCGCTGTCTTCTCTATTGCTCACATTCTTTCGCTAGAAATTAATGAGTGTTTATTATAATAAACATTCCTCATTATAACAAAATAAATGTATAAACTTTGTAAGTGTCAGAATATATATTTGCCGGGAATGTTATTCTTGGCAAATGTATATTCTGGCATATACAAAATTTATAAATTTATTTTATTATAAGAAGAATGTTTATTATAATAAACACTCATTAATTTCTAACGAAAGAATGTGAGGAAGAAAAAATATTCATGAATGAAGAAAGGAATTTGTGTTTCATTTTTTAACTGTTATTAATCTATAAAAGATTTAATATTAATTTGCTTAAAAGAAAGAAAAAGTCATAGATCGGCGAGAGAAGATGAGGATGACACGGAAGATTACAGAGAACAACTTACATCGTACTCTGCGCATTGTATTCGTCAGTATTTTAGTTTCACTTGTTCCTTTTTTTTCTTTTCAATAATAATAAATGAAAAATCGGGAAATGTTCTCCAGGCAATGATTCTTTCGTTTTCCTCTTTCTTTTTTTTGCCACAATCGCTATATTGTATTCTGATGATACATAGTCACGCGCGTTCTCACACACTTCGTAGTGCTCTAGTGCTAGTCCCCTGCAATTCGTCGTGATTATCTATTAAATGAAATGATAAGGAAAAAGAGAGAGTAGTCGTCGCTGGGTATGAAACATTTGTTCGACGACGATTTTTCATTGTCCGTTTTGCGATCATCACGGAATTTTAAAGAGGCGAGAGCGCTGTTTTTGGCGCTTTGCGGTTTTCTAGTCTGCGAATGGTGGAATGAATTCATGTTTTTTCATTCTCTTTTTTACCACGTGAGAGGCCAAGAATATTTGCGCGACGGATATTACACGCACTACACACGCGCGAGCAAAAGCGCTACGACATATTATAGAGACAGTGTACTACCAGCCGACTTGACAACAAGATGTACGATGAAAATACAAGTAATGAGACACAAAAATAAAAAGACATACACATTATGTATAACGTTCTGTCTTTTTCTCCTGATATCTTGTAATTTATTAATTGTATAGACAGCTAATTCATCGTAAAAGAACAAGCTCTGCGAGGAAAATTACGCAGGTTCTTGCAATGGCAATATTAATCACTGTGAAGTTGATCTCTGTGTAATAAAAATCACTTTTTCGCTCTAATAATCTTGCGAATATATAGAACTACTTATTTATTTTATATTACTGGCAAAATTAAGGAATTTTAGATAGAAAGAGGCATATATATATATAACAGATTTTATTTGCAGTGTCTACAATTTATAATGTGTAAAATTTATGCAGTAATAAAATAAGTGGTGCAAAATTTGAGAGATTACAATGATACGATATACATATATATATACATAAAACGATTATAAAAATATGTATAATTATTATCGTACATAATTCTGAATGGTATCTCAGTATTGTACATTTTACTTTACAAAGTTGGAAAACTTGATACAATTTATGCAAACTGAAATTTTATTTGAGAAATGAATGGAGTTACTTTTCCATCGTAACAATTTATATTTTTATCTTTATAGATTCTTAATATGTGTGTGTATGCGTGTTGACCACTTAAATACAAAGGAAAAAAACATAAATTATATATAAGTAAATATTTAAATGAGTAATTGCTTAGAAAGTAGAGAGCTTTTAGACATCGAATTCTCGGCAACGAACGTAAATTCGATTACATCGAAGATAAATTCAAAGATAAGTATGTTTACGTATTTTCTTAAAAATAGTAATTTTTTGTATAATAACTCGAAAATAAAAAATAGTCACAGCTCATCTTACATCTCACAATAAAGATTTTATTTTAAGTGTATATTTGTGATGTTTCGTTTATGTTCATATCACATTTTACCGGGTTTTTTACTCTGATCTCTTACTCTTGATGTATCATATATATAATTATATATATATAAAGCTTTGACGGATACAATAGGCAAATCGTATTTTCTTTTTTTAACAATTATTCAAAAATTCGTTGAGTTCTGCTCGAAGAACATAAAATCCTGAAACATCGAAGAGGATTAGCTGTATGTTATATTGACATTTAGACTTCAAATTAATCGTTTATATTAATATACACTTTACTTTCGAAATTTCTTTTTTGTAACTTTTTTGCAATATTTACGTGCAATATTTACGTGCAATATTTCTCTTTCGTGATTTATATTTTTTCTCTTTCTAATTCAATGATATTTTGTTTTAGTGGCAATACTCACTATTAGAAGACATGCACCCAGTAACACGGCCTTGATTTTCACGTCGAGATCGCGTGGGAAGTTAATGCCGAACTTATCGGAAACAGTGAAGAACTCCCGAGTGAATCCACTCCACTGCTTTTGGATAATGCCAACACGATGCTTCTCGTCCATGGAAGTGATCTGAAAGTTTAATAATTAACAAGTGATTCTCTAAGTGATTCTAAAGCTCTTTCATGCACCAGTAGACATTCACTAGTAAAATACTCGCCAAGTTTGGCAGATATCGTTTATTATTGAATCTTGCAACTCGGTTTCAAGAATTCTAAAATTTTCAAACTTAATGCAAAGACGAATTCGAAGAAAATCTGTTCGAAAAAAATTGATAGAATTATATAAAGTTATGCGTTATATATTTATATTATATTGCTATCAATAATTATTATTTTTTATTAATAGAAATAAGGATTAAAACTTAAACATTTTTCATCAGATTATAAGATGTTAAAAGGCACGAATTTTAAAATATTACCTTAAATACTACTTCAATACAAAAACGAATGAGCGGTCCCTTTATCTTTAATACTGGTTGGCCGGATGCGTCACGAATGTTGAATATTGGTCGCCAAAGACTCCATTCTTGAGTAATACTGCCCAACAGAGTATTTCCGGAATAGACTTCTAAGACCTATAAAAGGTAATGTTATTTATTTACGGATTAAAAACTAATTATAAAAAATTATTTATTTTTTTATTAATCACTTGAGTAATTAAAATATAATTTGTTAATAATTTAAAGTTTATTTGAAGTTCTTGCATAAAAATTGTAATGTAGACATATTCAATCAAAATTAATCAAAAGTTGCTAGACAAATTCGAATAGTAACAAGTTTTGCGATTATCTAATAATTATTAAAGATACTATTAATGTTTAATACCGATATGTCGTCCAGGCATTTTTTACCCGTAAATAAATTATTTTCCGCAATGGACGTTGAATGAAGAATCAACGTTGTTTCTCTTCATAGCGTATTGATCGGATCTTTCGACGACGCGAGCAAACTTTCGTCAAAGGTAAACCTGACAGATGGTCAGCACGTGTGAAGAAACTTTGGCAGACAAGATACAGAACAGGCCAGTGATTCTCATCTTACACTATAAGATCTCATTGTTAAACTTATATAATTATTTTTTATATCATCTTAATACTGATCAAAATTAAACGTCTAATTTTAAAGTTTTCTCAGAAAATGTACAAGATTGAAAAGTTTTTTCTGATCTCTGAACCCCTGTAAGAAATGGGGATAATAGACATGATCGACAAAATCTCAAGGCGGAAACTACCTGCAGGTAACAAGGGCAGCAGCAGCTGTCGAATCTAAAAGGCCGAACCATACGAAGAATCTCTTGTTGGTTTCGGTCATAGACGCTGAATTCGCAGGAGCGGTATTTGCCCAAGCACAATCGCGAGCAGATATCCGATTCCTCGGCCACATAGTATACCATCTCTCCTCTGTTGTCCGTGACAGCATATTTGTTTTTAGTCTCCCACCCGGTAAAAGCTGCAAAAATACAACAAAGCATTGTTAAAAAGGAAAAATGTACGATACGGTAATTCTCCATAAATATATTTTTTTAAATATATCAAATATAACATTACGCAACAATTGTATATCAAATAGCGTATAATTATTTTGTATCATTCAAGTAATTCAAGTATTTCTCTATATTAATTACGATTTTTAATTGCAGAGCTATATGTATTTATCACAGTACAAATATATAAATGGAGACTGTGTCACAGATGTTGTTATCGCGCGAAGTAAACACGGCTCCGTTTAGTCGCGGGAAGTCATCGTAAATCACGTTCTCGAGAGTTTTGCGGACATCTTGAACACATACACACTCGTGCATGCTCTCGCAAAGAGAGGAGTTATATTTTTATCTCTCGGCAAAGCAGAGTGCTCACCTTGAAGCAACTCAATTTTCTGGTCCACGAAAAGGTAATCAAGGTTGATAAGGGATTCCAAGCCGGGTGGATATGTCGTACTCAGCGGCAGCCAACCACCTGAAAATTCGTAACGTTATAAAGTTTGAATTTTTTACATCTAAAGAATGTAAATATTCATATTGTCCTAACAAAAAATTAATTACAACAGTTTGATGAGTTAAAGAGTTTAAATATCAGCGATGTCGTCAGATAAATTCATAGTTTATATTAATAAAGTTAATCGTTTTTAATTAATGTTAAAGCGATAGGCGCGTAATAAATCGAGGAGTACGCGTTTGCAAGAAAGATCCTGCACCTTTTTTCTTCCTCTGTGAGAAATCTGGTGTAGCCCTTTTTCTTCGGATTGCAATATCGTGCCGCATTTCGGAAGAAAGTTCTTACGTGTCTGCGGATCTGTTCTAACTTTAGTTTCCACGTAGTTTCAAAGTACTCAGATTCCATCGTGCGTGGACGCATCGTATCTCGATACGGTTTACAGACCGTATTTTTATATTACACAACACTGTTATCAATATCAAGTCTAAAATTATCTATCTTTATTATCGAAATTTGTGTTTAATCGATTGCGTTTAATCTCCGTTCTCGGAGATCTCAGTTATCGTTATCGTAACTTTAGAACACATGTTGTTAAAAATTGTTATTTATAATAATTTAGTGTGAAATAATATTATCTATTTAAAACTCGCTGATTCAGTTTCAACCATAAATTCAGAGGTATTTGTTTGAAATTCCCACTTTTATTATATGCTCTCAATTAATATTGCGAGCATAATTTTCCTTTACAAAATTTAGCGAATTATGTGGAGCGGTAAACTGAACATTAATAAATTATCTGTTTAACGATTTCTCGTAATTATCTGTTTGATTAGAGATTTGATGAACAATAATTAATTAAATTATTTATTTGATGAATAATAATTAAATAAATTTCACTAGTAATTATTTGTTTAATCAGCGATTCAGTCAGCTCATTAAGTTTTGAAATTTGTAATTAAAATTTTCACCATTGTTAATGTTTCTTTCTCAGCTCTTATCACTTTTCAAATTCTTATTTAATATTTTTTTATCATTAAGGTTCCTTTCTCAACTCAGTTCTAGCCACTTTTCGAAATTCTGATCACTGTTATTTACTATCCTTATTCGTGACTATTAAGCTCACGAAAACAAACGTTGATTTGAGGTCCGAGACGTCTTCGAGCAATATCACGAGTCATCACAATTATTCCATAGCATCCTCCATCCACGCCAAGGCAAGGCAGATTAAATGTTATTTATATTTTTCCCCTCATTCACTCCAATACAAATATTTTCATTTTTCCTCGTTTATCGTCCACGAGATAAATACGAAAAACAGCTCATAATCGAAGCGATGATACATTTTTCCAAATATCTCTCTAGTCCATGCTCTCCCACTCAAGAACTTTTATAATCACATTAATTGTTAACCGTATTTTATTTTATCACAGATTTCACAACTAAAGAGATACGAGACAAGCAACACACTGGTGGAATCGGATAATTACACTGCGCGATATCAGCTTCTCAGAACATTTCACATTCTACAAACGCGACGATATTATCTCGTTATCGTAAATCTTAAGGATGGAGAAACAACGATACACGATTCAGTTTCGGCTAAAAGTCGCAAGACTCGACGTCGTTATATAGACGTGAATGATAACGGCGAACAGCGACCGCTGAATAGATGATACGTGGGCATCAACGGTTATTATCTACTTTATACTGATCGTTCGTGGCAAACGGTAACCCACAACTATCATGGGACACGCAGGTTTGTAAGTTATCCTTCTGCAAAGGTCGTATAATGAAAACACGATAGTATGGTATTGAATTCGAATTTCCTGCGATGTGCCACTTTTATTACACACGATAGCAGCAATATCTAGATTATAATTGCCGGTAAAGAACGTAGATGTAGTAATTAAACAGTGGTACACGTGTGTGTGTGTGACACGTAATTGTAAAATAGATAGCACATTTAAAACACTCAACAATATATTGAGCAATCGTACGCGTTTTATAACGTGTAATGAAAAATATATATTAAATTATATTTCAAATAATAATTAAATATAATTTTTAGAGTTATCATCTGTATAAACTCACACATGTATCGAATGACATCTGTTTACAAAACGATATTGTATTCATGCAGAAAATGCCGCGGACAAATTTAACAGCTGTAGTTTGACAGCTGTAGTTTGACAGCTGGCGATAAAACTTTGTTACAAAATATTGTATTTTGTAGCGCGAAAAATATAGCTCGATATATTTGAGAATAAAAATGTTTTTTTCGATATTAATGCAAAATTATAATTATTATGTATAAAATTATCTTTTCTCATGTTTATCGCATCAGTGAAATTTAGTCCTAAGTGATAAAAATTGCTTAACGATCACGCAAGCTTCTTATTATTTATAGCGTATCGCGATAAATACCTAATGTTCTTTAGTGTTTAAAAACTTTTACATCTCATATATTTTGATCTCTGTTAGCCGGCTAATGATCTTAAAAGCGCGCCGAGAAATGCTAATCCCACTAAGTGAACTCTGTATGCAATGGCCCCGGGGAATTGTCAGGTCAACTAAATTTCCTTCTTTCTTATCTAGATTCAAGTCGACTACAAGAAAAGACCAGAGAAATGCGGTAATCAGGCTGAATTAACTACCGCCACCGTGGCCGACCCATTAGCAAATTAAGTAGATTTTTATTATCTTATTTATACCTCAGTTGAAGTAATAACAAAGAATTTTATCTGACCAAAATTAATTGCTTGATTATTAAAAAGCGATACATGTCTTTTCGGTGATTATTAACAAATGCTGTTGTGGCGCTTTTCTGTTGCAATTTACGGAAAGATAATATAAAATGCATTTGTAAATTTAGTCCTTCTTAAAATTACTTGTGTTTCTTACGAAATCAGGATTTTAGAGCTATTTTTCTGTCAAAATGGCCAATTTGAGGTCATTTACATCCGCGCGTGTTAAAATGAAATCAACGAGAGACGATTTTAATTAAATGTGTTGGTTTTTTGTATTAATTAGAATGACCAGATGTCAGAAGAATCTTTACCTTTTTATCTTTTCAAAAAAGATTTTATCTTTTCAAAGGTTCTCACCTGGTGGCAATATAGTTTGATTTGGTTGCGGCGGTGCTGTTGCGACCATCGGCTGCATTCCCGGCTCCGGCGGCGTGGGATACAATCCGGGATACTTTTGGGCGCACATTCTTCTCCTTCCGGTTTTATCCTTGTCCCTCCTACAAAGCAAAGCAAAGGAGGGCTTTTAGGTCGGGCTGGACAGACTTTCAATGGATTTTGTCAAGCGAGAAAATCGTAAAAATTAAGGTCGATACGAACCAAAGTTTCTTTTCAACTTTACAGACTATTTTAATCGAAATGTTCAAATTAATTTATACAAAATCAGAAATTGTATTTTCCCCTGATTTTGGAATTCAATAAGTTTGAAAACTTAAGTAGTTTTGTCTTCGTGATCACGATTATTATTATGACGATTTATGCAATTATAAATAGAAAGTAATAATCTAAATAAAAATAAGATAGAGAAGTGCATATAATATATTCGCATCTCTTCTACCGACGGAGAGAGTATCGGAGGGTAGAAGTATTAGTTCTCGAGCAAGTCGACTGATGACGGAAACTGCTTGCTCACGCACGGTATAATATCTGCTTGCTCGCGCGTACGTATAATACTGTTTATGTTGTTGAAATTGTTGGGTCATCGTCCTCGCGCGTATCACCGCGCGGTATTCGTCTCGTAAAGTTCATTGTAACGCATGTGCAAGTAATATGCATACATGCATACATGTATGTGAGAAATAAGACCTCGCGTCGCTGATAATACTTTCTCTCTTCTCATTGATAATTATCCTTTGTTCTGGAATCTCCGCCTAAATAATATTGCAGTCAGAGAATGATCAAATGACACTTGATCTCCTCGATCATTCGCGGAAGTCTCGACATCGTGGATGCAATGATCTTTTTATCTCAAAAATTAGAATTTGAAATTTGTTTCGAGGTTGCTCGAAACATTTTCACGCATCAATTAGTTACGAGTTTACACTTCAAAAGAAATTATCAGCTTGTATTATTCAGCATTGTATTACTCAGCAAGATTAGTTCACTTTAAGAAAAATATCACACATTACCTGTTAAGGAATTTAAGATAACCAACTTTTAAAATATTTATAAATAAACACAACGCGATAGCTGCATCACGCGACAACTGATTAGGAATTATACTGTATAAAGAGGATTAAATTCCGTAATATGTTTACTCCAATTAATTCGTCACTGTTTGTTGCTTGAGATATCCAGTTCACATTATATTTATGTTAATAATTAAAACGATTGTATGTACACGAACAAATGAGATTAAATGGAATATTTCATAACGCGGTCGAAGCGAGAAAAACCGATATGTATAAAAATATCTCTTCTCTTCTATTTGAGACGTTATTTTTGCACTGGAATTATAACGGAATTCCATTGCATCTCGCGAGCCGTCAGAGCAAGACGAAATCACCGGCAGTTTACGTCACTGGACGTGCTGCTCCACGTGGGCATTATATCGGATCGTACCACTTTTTAACAGCCTTGAATGAAGGTTTTCTGAAGTCCGACTGACGGTTTTCTCGTACGTGCGTTTCGAATGGCCTCGAATATTTTTCCCAGCTTCAAATATTTATTTAAGGTGTCACAAGCACCGCAGTCAGTTAGATATCTAATCTAACGTCATAGTCAATATCTGTTTTGCTGACTACCAGAGTTATCCAGTTTTCGAAGGTTTCTTCGGAGAATTATCTTAAAGATAAAAAATTCCAACTATGAAATTCTAAAAACAGAGATTATGATATTATATATTCAGATTATGATAAAAATTCTGCATTATAGATTCTAATTTTTAATTTGAATTCTTACAATTCTGCAAGCTTGTAATAATTTACTATAAATATAAAGCTCTCTCGTGCCGGAAGATTGCTCTGCATACATCTAATACTAGTCAAGGATAACAAATCAGAGACAATGCTCTTCATTTTGTTCCCTATAAAGCACTATTTAAACGAACGCTTTTATCGCCGTATTGACGCATGAGACACATGTCTCACTCGGCACGCAATGCGAGTCGAGATACAAGCTGCAAATATCGAAAAACCATTCGATTCGAACAGCGAAATTCGTGACTCATGCTCTTTTTTAAAAATGAAACTATCCGGTCGTTTCGTTGTCAATCTGCTCCTAAAAATCGCCTTTAACTTTTTCCCGAGAAAATCGTCCTTCGATCGATTGTCAAGCGTGACCCCGTAAACTATTACCTCAGCCACTCACTATCAATGAATGAACGCTTCGATAATGTCCTCGCGCGTATCTGTAATTGGAATCCGCGGAAAAGAAAGAGAGAGAGAGAGATACGAATCGCAATTGTGCACCGGAAATGGGAATTCGCTCAACCTACTAAACGCGTTGAAACGTAAAAAAAGAAAAAAGATTGGTCACAAACCTTGTGACAATCAATGAAATCTATGTTAAAGGTGATTTTTTTTTTCAATCGTTTATCTAACATTTATATTTTAAACATCAGTACAATTCGATGCCTGCAAATCTGCTATGGAACAGTTCTTTACGTTTGATTGCACAACCACAGATTCTTGCGATTGTTTATTCAAAGATTTTACTTAAAACTTTATTATATAAATACAGCGTTTAAATTAATAGCCTTCTACAAATTTTTAGAAGTAGATTCTAAATGATTTATCACAAGACTCTATATTTGAAGCAAAATTTCTCGTTTTAGCGTGTCTCTGAAGAGACATCACTCTCGATACTTTCAACGTGTATGTAATTTTCAACGTCACACACGTATGAATAAAGAGAAAAGTCCCAAAGCAAGCAAGCGTCTCGATCTCTCATCGACACACAGTGGTTGAGCAAAATGTGTGATGCATTGCTCAGTTATGTACACTTTCATCGGTGGTGATGTCATCCGTTCCTCACGTGTGTAAGGGGAGAGACTGCGTTGCGCATACCGCAAGGTCGTGGAACCACGGCCGGTCGCGTAACCAAATTCTTTTTTTTTTCCTATTGCAGAGAATTACTTACATTTTCAAATATACATTGCAATGTTTCTTCACTCGTAGAGAATTTGCACTACCGTCTTGGTTTTCGTTCTATTCTAGAATCTCGAAGCTAATCACTTTCTTATCAATTCTTACCTTTGCCATGTCATTTTGGAATTTTCATTATCATATACGATATGTTGAACGACAAAATATGAATGAGCAAACATTTGTGAACGGAAGTGTCTGATGCGTCACGTTCTATTATCTTAATGTCACAATTATTCCAAGTGACCTGATTCGATATTTCGAGAAATAACGTTGTTCTCGTAAAAAAAAGGGGGGAAAAAAACCGGCGACGATGGAAAATGTCACATGCGCAATGCAAAGTGGCGCAAGCTGAAATCACACGTGCTCGTTTTGCCGTGTTGCAGCATAGAAATCATCCTATATACACACATTCACAGGCACCCAAGAACTATGATACGATAGGCGTGATGGTAACGCGCATACTTCCGGTTTTTCTAAAAGGAAAAGAAAAGAAGATAGAGCGATAGGAAGCGCGATGTTCTTTCAAACGCCTTTTTAACGTATTTATAATTATGGTTGGTATTTATACCGGTAACTGTGATGTTACGGAATCGAAGCTTGTGAGCTGACTGATAGAAACAGTTTATTGCAACAATGCACTGACGTCATCTCAATTTGCATAACTTTACGAATTCAAATGTCAGATGATTTACGAAGTAATGGTTCTCAAATCTGATTTTACAGCATGACAGATTTTATGTTAAATTTAAGAACTCAGAAAATCTCTATATAAAAGAAATTGAAGCTATTCATTAAAATTGCAATTAAAAGTTGCAATTAAAATTACAATCAAAGTTGCAAACTCTTGTAACATTTTATATGTATATCTATAACTCAAAATTTAATAAACATTCGTCACATTAATTCAAAAGTGCTATAATGTTAGTGTAGAATCGGGTGCATTAATACTGTCTAGTTCACTTACAACAAATAAGTTCAAGTTTTTCAGTATTATTTTAAAAAATATATATACTTTCTCGTTTATATAATTGCATGGTTTAATCGTTTCATGCTCCCAAAAAATAAAAAAAACCAATGAAATTGTGATGATATCGTGAAATACTTTTACGAATGCAGCCGTACGCCACTGATGCATCGGATGATACACCGCTTGCGCGAGAGGTGCGTGTGATTAGAAGAGTATAAGTTTACATACTTATAGAAGAAAAAACGGGCACGGCAGTGGCGATGGCAGCGTCGAAAACGGACCCCTGGTTCTTCGCCGGCGGAACGAACTAACGGGGCAATCGCAGTGAAACAACGGGAAATATAGCGATTCTCGATTCCGTGGCGCCGCGTTCCCCAACTCGGTGCGATTAATTTTTCCTTGAGCTATTTTTAAACTTCCAATTCGCAACAATTCTCATGCGGCGACTCAGAGAACCTTTCTTATGCCCGTTTCCACCAATGTAGATTAATTTTAATCTCGGTTCAACTTCCTCTTCATCTTTTTCTAGTTCTAAGAATTAAAAAAGATGAAGAATAAGTTGAACCGAGATTAAAGTTAATCTACGTTGATGGAACCCGGCATTATATATTCATTTTGTCGCATCTAAAACCAAACAGACGAATAAAAGAGAGAGTTTAGAATAGAGTTCAAAAAGAAAGAAAAGAATATATTCAAGAAAAAAATATAAGATTCAAGAAAAATATTCAAGAAAAAAATATAAGATGTAAATAGCGCAATTAAAATAAACAAATATAATTGAAATTTGTTTTTCTTTTTTTTGTTCTTTTTTGATAGCGCAAGATCGCCTTATCACACGACCGATGATCGCGGAAATAATTTGTCAGCGCACATTCGTCATCGAGAGTAACTCGTAATGCGTAGGAGATGAGTCAGTCAGTCGTGACGATAATGACAGCCGTGCATGCTAAGCGAAAAGAAGTGATCACGTATGGTCCATGATTAAGCTAAAAATATAACGGTCTATGCCTAAATTTATCAAAGCAGAACATCTAATATGTGAAGTCTTGTCTTTTATTTGTATCTTAAAGATTTACGTTTACTTCTATTTTATTTTACATAAATATTTTATTATATTTAATTGTAAGTGAGAATTTAATTTATGAGAATCTTATAATTATTTTATGAAAATTTTCATTTTCTTTAATCGTTATATATTTTAATCACCTTAAAATTGAAATAACTTACATACCACTTTCACAAAGCTCACACAATTCATTTGTTATGCACTCTATATTGCTAGGCAATTAGTCAGTCATCAAAGCCCTCATTGTTAATGTTGCATGCTTGTGGCTCAAGATACTTTAAGCATTTGTCAAATCATTCTGCAATTTTAAATTTTGCATTCTAATTTGAGTTAGGTTAGGTTAGGTAAAATATGCTATTTATATAAAATATAAAATTAATACACATTTTCAGCATATACATTGATATATATTCTACAAATATATGACATATTTTGCAACTTGCTATTTATAAATATTTATAAATATTTATCAGCTCCAAAACTTACTGCACGTTTTTATTGCTTTTACTCGTCTATTGTTTGGATATTATCAATGAGCATTGACTCGTTTAAAATTCTTATTCAGAGTTGGAATGCATTGTATACTGTTTACACTTGGCGTAACCCCGGTTAAGAACATAACCATACGCACGTGAACTTCGCCACTCTACATATGTATATGTCAGTATCGTACTTTGCACACACTAATACAACGAGATGTAACTTACTCAGTTGTTCTTCGCGAGTTAGCAAGGTCGTGGATAGCGCTGTCTACCAGATAAGAAAGAGTGACACACGTATCCGGTGGCGAAGGGAGGCTCCTCGCATTCGTTTCCCTCGATTCTACGGAGATGCTTGATCTGTTGTTTCTACGTGCACTCTTTTGCACATGGATTGAAATTGATGCACCTTCGACCTTTCGAAAGCAAAAGAAACAAAGACGCGAGTATCGAAAATACAACTAAACGTTCTTCTTTTTTATCTACATTCTCTTTTTACATTCTCTCTGCGTCTGAAATGAAATAAATATAGCTCCTCGCGTCTGGAAAAGAGAAATCACGAGCGTGGTGAATACAGCTGAAAAAAAACAAATGTCGATCTATTCAGTCATCACTTTCAATGGAAATGCAATCAGTTGACTTGATCGAATCGACCAATCCGCTTGCGCTGCATTGAAAATGCATCTTGAAGCTTGAGCTATTAAAGTGAGTGAACCACACATAATTCATCTCACTTACAAACAATATTATATTTACAAAGCGATTAGCCTCTCTCGTCCAATATAATTTGAAATAAGTTTGAAAGATAATTACAGTATCTTTTATAAATCATTTTTAAGTGCATCGATAGATTTTGGAGATCATTTTAAATATATATTTCCATATTCATCTAGATAGACTCAACCTTGAAGCATTTATGACAATTAGCGTGCTTTATTAGTTAATTTCATGTTTGAAACATGACGTATCATCGTTTTTTCAAAAAAGAAACAATTAACTAACCTCATAGTCTAGAAGATATGCTTTGGAAAGTTCGTGAAAACCTCGATTGCGATTAAAATTACCTGTAAAAAAAATAAAAAATTTTATAATAGAAAATACGAATTACAAAATATCATACAAACTATCTCCTGCAAGACTAAATTTTATACCTTGTAAAAAAAGGAGAATAAAAAGATGAAGGAAAGGACAATCGCGTTTTAATAAAAGCAGAGAGAAACCTCGTGTTTATGACGTCTAGTGTGCGCACAGTCGATGACTTTTCCGCGTGATGTGACGTTCGTTCGAAGAAAAGCCTAGCGACGGCGCTGATAAAATGGCGGCGTCGCGCACGTCAGATCAGGATGAGGATTGCGGAGGGCAGGGGGGTTGACAGGAAGAGGAGGTAGACGACAGGCAGGCAGGCAGGCAGGCGGGCACAGACGAGAGCCTGTGTGTCGTCGTCGTAAGTGCCTGCGTATAGAGCGGCGCGGTGGGTTCTCCCGTGTCTGTCGTCATGTCCTGGCATAGTCGCATCATCGTAATACCGTGGCAGCCTTGCACCGAGGCGGCGCAAGTCGATTCCCGATTCGCGTGATCCCGTCGTCTCTCGTCCGCCAGCAGCAGCAGCCGACCCTGGCGCGCCGTCGATGCCTTTGTTCGCGGCCGGGAGGTGGACGGACACGAATTGTCGCGACGACGTAGTGAGGAACGGCGCAAGGACGAAAAACGTGCGGATGAAAAGGAGCCTGGTTTCGTTAGTCTAGCTAGTAGCTAGCAGTAGTGAGTAGTAGACAAGTGAAGTGTACTCGCGTGAGAGAAGGTGCGATATAATCTTTCTCTCTCCCACTCTCTGTGTCTCCTTCGTCTCTGTCTCTTTTCCTCACTCACTCTTATTCACTCTCTCTCTCTCTCTCTCTCTGTCGGGTGAAACGGCGCTCCACACCCCGGCGCGGTCCTGGACACGTCTAAGAGAAGGAGACGACGACGGTGTAGAAGGAGGCGCGGAGGAGCCGACGACGACGACGTCGAGATGCGCGAGTTCAAGGTGGTGGTCCTCGGCTCGGGCGGGGTGGGCAAAAGCGCACTCACTGTGCAATTCGTGTCCGGTTGCTTCATGGAGAAGTACGACCCGACGATCGAGGACTTCTACCGCAAGGAGATCGAGGTGGATAACTCGCCGTGCGTGCTCGAGATTCTCGACACCGCCGGTACTGAGCAGTTCGCGTCAATGCGCGACCTCTACATCAAGAACGGCCAGGGCTTCGTCGTGGTGTACAGCCTGACGAATCACCAAACCTTTCAAGACATCAAGGCGATGAAGGAGCTGATCACGCGTGTCAAGGGTACGGAGCGCGTGCCGGTGCTCTTAGTGGCGAATAAGCTCGATCTGGAGCATCAACGTGAGGTCGGTACCGAGGAGGGTCACCAGCTCGCGCAACTCTGGGGCTGCCCGTTCGTTGAGGCGAGCGCCAAGAATCGCACTAACGTCAACGAGGTGTTCGCCGAGATCGTGCGCGAGATGAATTTTAGTCCTGAGAAGGAGAAGAAGACCTATTGCTGTTGCAGCGTCCTCTAATACTTAATCAAAACCCTCACTGGCCCAGATTATTTACTCGCGGACCGAACTAGGTGAAGAAAAATTACAGTGTGTACAGTGCTACGGAGAAGAGCTTGTCTCGAGCTCATCGACGTGTTTCTTCATCGTCCTGATGGTTCTCCTCACGGCTTCTTTCTTGACCTTAGGATGCCTCGAGGGAAATACAGTGTACAGTGGCTTTCGGGTATCTTGTAAGCGTGTTTCGTCGGAGAACCTGCCGAAAAAGGTTCTTCCAGCCTTGGGACGTGCTGTGCATTCGTCAAGGCTGGCTCACATTGAACGCTGTATAATTTTTCCAACGGGGATTATGGTTCTCCTTTTTCTAACTTTTGGAAGACCGTCCTACGAGAACGACGGCCGCGTTAAACACAGATATTTTATTATACGCGAATAGTATTATGTATGTAATATTATTGTAATATATTATATATATATAGATATATATATATATATATACATATAAAATCTAGATAGATTTAAGAGAGAGAGAAAAAGAGCGAGCGAAAGGTAGCTTTACCTCGGCAAAAGGACCAATACTCTGCTCGCGAGAAAGACGAAGGTATCGAATACCGCGAAACCAAAACTCAATATCGGCTTTCTGCTCAATTTCAGACAGAATCGTCGCACGTAGATCCCGCGTTCTGATGTAACAAATCAAGATTAGGTGCTGAGCCGAAAATTGAATACTCGCAGACTTTTGAAGGAATCACTGTGATGGTCGATCTTTCTAGCATGGTGATAGATTCAGCGATAAAAAGCTAAGCTAACTAATGTTCGAATAAAGGTTCAATTTGCATGCGAATGTTACGCAGTCCATCTGATTCGAAGATAGGAAGATAAAAAAAAAAAATCGATATGGTTTCGAGAGTACTCTTCTCTGTGCAATTGTTCTGTGTTAATTTAAGCTAAGGAGGCTGATTAACGAGCGAGATGTCATAAACGTTTTTGTACGAAACGTTTGTTATAGTGACATTAGTATACAGGGTACCTTATTTGCTTAATCATCTGAAATGTCTTTGTTGCTCTCAAAATCACAAGGAAGTGTTTCGGAAGCAAACTATTTAACACGAGGGGCACTCTGATAATAACATTCGAGTTCTTTTCGAGGCAAATAATTTGTTTTTGAAACATTTCAGAATATTTCGAGATATGTCAGACGATTAAACGATCCTGTATGTCGGTTGTACAGTCTTAACACTGAACTATTTTACCGTGCGCAAGGGAAGGACACAGAATGAAGTTTTATATACGACACTTTAGTGGTTAACGGATAACCCATTTGTTGTGAGATTTCTTGTGATCCGTTGTGTAGCAAATACTAATGTTTGACTTTCATTTTGCTTTAATGTCTGTTTGATACGCGATATTGTACTTGTAAACTCTAATGCAGGAGGAGTGAGAAAACTAACACGTCTCAATGATCACAAAATTGAATTTTAATGAACTAAAGGCCGTAACTGAAAGCTGCTTTTAGTTTGTTAGAATCTAAGGTCTCAAACTATATTATTATACGATGACGGGAATATTAGGAGAAACGATTTCGTATAAAGTTAGTTAACGTAACAATGTCAATCTAAACTTGTAATTTGTAAGCTTTGTACGGTTTGTACAAGAGTTTGTATTATATAGGCCGCAAGACTGCACACTTGATCACTAAGATTGATGAGTGATCTTTTTTAACGAGTGATCTTACACACCAAAATGATGGAGCACAATAGTTTATTCGTAGTAGAGTTAAAAACATCGCGTGTGAGCTCACCAATGTTTCACACTGATCCCTTCAACTGCAAAATTACGTATATACTTAGTGTTCATCGCCGATAAAGCACCAAGATGAAAAGTATTGTAATAGCAGAATTATAACTTTTTTTTTCAAGAATATTATTTTTATCTCTAAGCCTCTATGTGAAAAATTATAGAATTGCATTTGATTAAAAGTTTCTTACAACGTCATGCAAAGGAAATTTAGAAAAATACTAAAAATGTCCGAAAATGCAATTACAATACTTTTCATTATTACCATTGCATTCGAAAAAGAAATATGCAGACTCTCCGAAACTGTTGTTGAGTTCATGAATGTAAAAAGTTGTTGGATGTAAAGAAATTAGAGCAATTATTCTGCTTCTTATGAGTGACTCGTGAAATTGATCGAGTGTTAATATTTTAAAAGTTGCTTTATAAACTTATTTTAAAAATGTTATGCAAAATTTCTATATATATGTTACAGTACTAATAAATTGTAATGTGTTATCTGCAGTAATTTTTCAGTAACACAAGCTGTTAAAATTTGCTTTTATATTCTCCTCGATTCTTTTTATATTAAAAAATTTGATGAAACCTTTAAAACGATTTGTCCTTTCGATGAATTTTGCGAGTAACTATATTAGTAGTAGATAACGTGTGTAATTTTTTTTGTGTGATCAAAATCGTATTATCCGATGTTAGATATCGCTTCTCGATGAACACAACGTAACAACAGTTACTACATGTTATTCAGTTCGGTGCATTGTCATACAAACCTTTGGATGTACCAGGATTTCTTCCTGAATTTTTATATTCTTGCGGAATTAAATGTTTTCCTTTTTCTAAATTTGATTTTTAGAGAAACCTCAAGCTATCTTTCACTGGTGCTCAATGTGAATTTGTTAGATTAATTTTGTTTTTTATTCAAATCGTATTTATAATTTTGAACAAATTTAGAATATCGTATTTAAGAGACATCCAAAGGTTAAATGCAAAACAAGGAAGGAGAACAAGTCGTTCGTTTAAAATTAATATCTTTTTGTTAATTTATTAGAAAATAATGTCCCGTTTTTGCAACAAGATATATTTTCAATTTGTTTAAATCGTGTACGCGCGATATTTTCCAACTAAAACTATGAGAATTAAGAGTTAAAAAGGACAAAGGAAGAATGAACTGATGTACAGTATTTCTACGATTGGTAGTTAGATCGATCTTAAATATTGGAAAGAGATATCCGTTCATATATCCTGAGCACATGTGTCATTTTGTATAACGCAAAAACTCGTTTGATGCATCTTTTTCTGGATCCTGTATTAGGAAAAAAAAAAAAAACATTAACGAAGCGCCGGAAACTGCGGTCTTATACTATCTCGCGGTTTACAGCGAAGAAAGGAAAACAAAAAAGAAGAAAGGCGAAACGTTTCATAAACCACTATTTTATCACAAACTCGTGGAAAATTCTTATAGTCTCGCTGTGATCCCGTAGTCGTAACTCCGCATCTTTTGTATATCGAACAACAATAATCGAAGCCTCTTCTCCCGGTTTCGAGCGAAAGGCCTCTTTACAAAGCGTTTTAATCGTTGTCACCTGACTTCTATCACACTTCTTGCGTTTTTTCGCCCTATTTTACAAGGCGACACACACACATACATACACTTTTACACAAAGTCCGGATCACAAAGGACGCAAGGCCGTCATCCGCCTAGATAGCTCACCAAGTATTTAATATACTCGAAAAATCTATTTATATATTTGTATAAGCAGAGAGAGAGAGAAAGAGAGAGAGAGAGAGCCGCGTCACATGTCTCCCACGCGTCAAACTCTCAATATTGCACGCGCTATTTTTCTAAAGCGGCGTCTGAAAATTTTTATCGCAAGAATGGTCTGTGGTAAGAGCGAATTTATTTGGAGAGCTATCGCCGCGGTAGCAAAGCGTCAAGAGCAAAAAATTGCACCATGCCTGGAGTCGACCAGCATATCATATACATCTAAGGACCAGAATTGTTTCTAATCTTCTTCACCTTATTTTACGAATCAGTTATTTTCTTACACGAGGGAAAGGAAAGATTGAAAAAAGAAAAAAACAAGGATGACACACCGTGTGTATACTGTAGCGATCCGCAGTTCGGAGATACGTGTGCATTTGTTATGCAACCGGGTCACGCACATATTAATAATTGGAGAAAAAAACAAGAGAAAATAAGAGCAAGAAAAAAAAACACCACGATTTAGATATGTGTATATCGGCCTTTCAGTACTACTACCTGCGTATCTGATATATTGAGTACGAAATACGTTATATATTTTTTACAATGTGAAGAATCTGTAAATATATTATATAGCGAGTCGAAGTATATATAATAAAAGGTAATTATCTTGAAATTCCGAGGAGAGACGAAATATCTCAGAATGAACATCTCTTACGGCGAAAGAAAAAAATGTGCATTGCGTAACACACCAAGTGCGGTCTCTTTCTTTCATGCACAGCTGTGCAAAATGCTTTGTTGTAATTATATGTGGAAAGATCACGTGGGTAGACGAAGCTAGAATGCTGGAATGCATGCAAAGTTTTCGCTTTACTAATTTATCTTGCTGATTCTTTTCGTCCATTCTGTAACAAATTGAGATATACATTTCTGAAGTATTTTATATTATTATTCTGTAGTGAAAAAAAATTGTCTGCTAATAATTATTACTTGAAAATACCTTCGATTTATTTAAAAAAATATTATTGATTGAAAAATATTCGATGACATTCTTGATGAATTAACTGGACGGATAAGCAATCGATTTAACACGTTTTCTATGTTGAATACCAGCATGAGAATCTAGTCATGAACGAATAAGTCGCGAAGCACTCGTAAAACGCAATTGCATTTGCGTTCCTCGACTACTTCCACTTCCGAGCAGAGAATGATTATTGCAAGAAATAACGCTCTTTGTTTTTCCTTTTCTTTATCCAATTGACGAGATATTTTTTTTTTTTTTAAGCTTAAAACCGTTCTCCTCGCTCGTTGTGAAAGTACCAAAGGTCTACCCTGAAGATTTGTCCATGTGATAATTTCAAAAAATTTAGGCCTTAGTTATGAAAGATTTAAATTTAGATTGTAGACTGATGCACATTTTTTCTTTATTTACAATTTTCTTTTATTTCTTTTTATTTCCTGACTATTGTAATAATAGCATTTGACACTATCGCACAAATATAGCATTAGAATTCTGAGATTGATGACATGCTACCGATCGGACATGCTTCATCTTGCGATGAAAAAGTCTTAATGTAAGTTGTTTAAGTCCACGAAAAAGAGCATATGCTTATAATTCTACTATTTTGCTTTAAATTACAATGTTTTTGCTGAAGTCATGTTAAAACTTAAATTATTTACGGAAAATCGGTTTATATAATTATTCTTAAGCGCAGAATATACGCAGCATAATAATATTCCCGTTGTAAAAATATCGAACTTATTAGGTGATTAATCGTAATTCAGTTTGTACGATGATAAAAATTTGACGTTTGTGATTATGGAGAAAGACTCTATTAAGCTAACGCTCGCATATACGTTTTAAATAAAATCCTTTTATATTTTATTTTGCATTTCTTGCACATGCATTTTATTAACCAATCATCGGTTCATTATGTATATTTACATATGTTATATATACGAGGTAGAATCAAGTTTCGAAAGTGATTTTCATGCGATGATGAAAACTCATTAACTTGAAATCATCAACTTGTTAATCATTAACTTGAATATATGCATAAGCGATAAAAAACAAATTGAATTTTTTTCAATTTAATAATACAACAATCAAATAATCAAAATAACAATATAAATTTATAGAAACATTTTTATGTGCAGAATAAAAAAACAGACATAATATAAATCTTAGAATGTTGTAGTCAAGCATTTCTAATATGCAAAATACTATCGTTCGGAAAATACTATCTTCATTTTCTACATGATATATTTTAAGTTTATATATGATATTTGATTATTTGATGAATATTTTCATTTCTCTTAATCGAACTTTCGTTATTTTATTTCGACGACTATATATATTAAATATATTGCGTGTGCAATATATTTTATTACATATGAGATTGTCGTGATTTTTTACAAAAAATAATCACGGCAAAACAATTATTTCTAAAATATTTCCTCCTATATATAGCTATGTTTCGACTTAATAATATTTTTCTGTTGTGGTAAAATAAAAAATACAAAATATATAAAGTAAAATAAGTAAAATAAAAGATGATTACATAACGCAAATATATAACGTTATTTTACTATAAAAATGATCATGTATTATAATTTCCTAAAGGGCAATTGTTAAAATTTGCGTAATATTTTCTTATATATAAAGCAAAATATTTATATCCAATAATACGAAAAAATGATCACTATTATATGCATCATCGGTACATATACAGATCGAAGACACTTTCCAATAAAAATAAAAACTAATACAAGTAGTGACAAAAAGTATCCTAATTGTAAACTATTTGTATAATAGTTCTTTCTGTCCCGTAAAATTTCTATTTTTATAAAAATTTAAGTACATGCATTGATTAAATGCATTAAGTAAATACGTAGTAAATCAATAATTTTATTTTTATCAAATACGTAGTGATACTCTTTAGCAATGAAAAATTTCTTCAACAATTTCTTTCGTATTATTTCTCTCGATACATATATCGTTCAAGTACTTCATTCAATGATAAATGGGACAGTGATCATTTTGATAGAAAAATAATTACAGCAACTCATGAAGTTGATCAAGTTTTCCAAACATTCAGAAAATAATTAAATATAAATATTATAATATAAAATATAATATTAAATTTAATAAGCTAGTATCCTTGTGATGTTCGCTTTCCTCATGTTACCAAAAATTTTTACACAACTGTAGAAAAAAAAAATTTTGCGAGTAACTGATTACAATCAATATGCAATAGAAAATCATCATCAATATTATGAGTAAAACGATTATTTTCCGTAAAAAGTGAAACAAATTATTGGAACTACTTACATTTGATGCAACCTTATGTCTCTGTATTGAGCAGTGTCATGCAATCGCATACGAAATTGTATTCGTTAAACATATCGAATAATTTATTGGGGCCGGCTCGTGAGTTTGTCTCGTCGTTTAACAAGGTGGAACTGCTAGAATATATAGATATTCTATAAAACATCCTTTCTATAATATTTTCTATTCTACGATACTTTTCTGTGACATTTATATTCTCTCTATAACATATATTATTCCATGATATTTTGTGATAGATAAATATAGAGAGATCCTACACAATATTTTATAATATGTTTTTGCAATAGAAATTGTAGACACACACATCATATATTTTTGTATTTAATAGTGTTCTAATATTTTATGACATTAATTCAATATTTCAATTGCAGTTGATAGCATATTCGAGTTATAATAAAATTGTAAAGTATAAAAATAAAATTACATCAAAATTCAAAAATAAAAGATAAAGCAAAAAGAAAATTTATCATAAAGATGCATTAAAAACAAAATTAAAAATCTCCCATTCGCTCACCTTTCCAAATTTTCTTCGACAGAAATTGTTCTTTGACTGCTGAGTCGACCGAAACACACTCGCATCCATTCCTTAACGTTACAAAAATAATGTTTTACATCTGTATAAAATTTATTAGTGAACATGTTATTGATATATATGAGCATGCAGCTATATGACTCAGCGTACTGTGTGCCATTTATTAATTGTTTCAGAGAGGATAAAGTCTCCAGCAAAATATAGCAAATTGCGACATGTAAATTTGCGTCTGATTTTTTTGCAAACTTTTTGCAAAATTTAACAAGAGTGCGCAGCAGTGTAATGGAAGCGTTTGGCGGAAACGTCTTAGAATACACTATAGTAAGCTGTATCGCTTCGGCCGCTATCCGCACTAAGTTTTCGTATGCTTCCAACTGGCTGGTCCAGCCGAAATGGTAATATAGCTCTGTCAGTTCGTACACGTGCGACTTAAACTCACTCATAGTTGCATGCAGCATCATATGTCGTATCAAGCTCTCTCGATTGATTCGAGTACAATTCGTAAATCTTTTATTGTATATCCATATTGAATTTGTTCGCAATCTTTGATGTATGGGAAAGCAACGCGCCTCATAGTCCTGTATCACATGTAGGACATTGATTGTGTCAGGTGCAATTACCATTAACATCTGTGCACGATCGAGTGGCTCTAACCAATTGCCGATTGTGCACTTATATTCGTGCAATTTTTTCGCCATCACTGCAAATGTGTGGGTTTGAAGGTATGCTGGGAACTTGATTAGTATTTCACATATAGCAGACAATATCTCGTTCGTTTGCTCTTTTATCCATTCTGTGTTTCTCCTTATCAATGACATCTTCTTGGCCAATGCTACAGTTAGCAGTATGTAATTTATTTTGTTCGCATAATCTAGCTCCATCAAAATAAACTGTAAGCTAATCGCAATATGATAAAGATTACCCTTGATATCGGTCATTAACAAATAGGGGATGTAAAAGTAGTTGAACAAATCATTTGTTTTTATCACCTAGAAAAGAGAAATTTAAAGGATTAAAAAATAATGGAAATAAAGTTTTCAACGAAATAAAGAAATATAAAATAATTTAAAAAATTAAAGTCTTTTAACACGCACGTGATTCAATGAATGTTAAAATATATATTTTAACAAATTTTTATTCGAATAATAAATGCTTCAAATTTATTTCTGAGTTGCTAATATAGAATTTACGTATCATAAACGTATTATATCAATTACGTAATTCATACATTAGTACGAATAACAAATAACAGTAATGTTGAATGTTTTTGAAAAAGTTTGGAAAAATGTATAACTATATTGTCTATTTTTTAATTTATTACGTTTTACCTGATACATTACCTTATTTTGTATCATTATTACTACAAAATCGCAGAACTTCTGCACATTCCAGTCATTGTTGTTGAAACAAACTTCTTTCAGGATGACCAGCAGTAAATTGTATCGTTCGTCTGCTTTTATACAAAGGAACTGTTGTAGTGACAACAAGTCGTATGCCGTGAAAGTAAAATTCTTATAATCAATATACTCGATCACGATCTTTATTAAAATAGTCAGCACTTTCTTCGCGTTCAGTAGAATACAGATCATGAGCACACGTAATTTTAGAGGATCATGTATGTCTATCTTGTCCTTAATGAAATTATGAAACATCTTGTCATCGTACATACACTCTAAATAATTGTCCTGAAAGTGCCGCTTCGTGTATTTTAGCACATTCAAGAATAAATTCTGGTCCTCCACTCGATGCAGTATGGTAATTACCGACACATATGCTTGATTTCTTTCCGTTGCGTTGAGCGAATTCGCAAACACATGGTGGAGATACTCAAGCAAAAAGAAGATATCCTCTTGCAATAAATGCACTCGGTCACTGATGAAATTCATCGTTAATTTGTCCCATTCTTTGTAGCGTTTCATCAATTTTCTCATATTTTTTGATTTGTCATTAACAATGCTGGCACGAAGCTCCTGAAGAGATAAACTGAATCTGTTAGAATTTTCTGGGCTGGAGAAATCAGACCAATAAATAAATTGCTGTAGAAGATGACGCAGATGATTATTTTCCACCAAAAAATCATCCTTCTTCATGTATTTCATAAAATTGTGACACTCAATAACAACGGCATGCTGCAACGAAGTCGCAATATTTTCTTCGTCTTCAACCCCTGTCCAGTATACGTATTCGAGGTAATCAATCTCTTGAATATGCTTCAGTAGTAGTGTAATAAGTTCCTGATCCAACATTATTATGATAGAGTTTATCTCATAATTGGTAAATTTATGATAGATCTCAAGGGACAGATTACAGAACGACATAGTCCCGGACGTAAGTCTGTACATATCTGCTACGTGTGTAACATCTGGATTTATAAGATTTGAACTTAATTTTTTACACATGCACAATCTTGTGTAGCGAAGGATGCGTTTCAAAAAAGTTCCGCGTTGCTTGTATTTTTCTTGAATGCATATTTCGGGAAACTGATTAAATTTGTCAAATAGATCCAGTAACATCTGAAAATATGCCACTAATTGGTATAAGCGTTCCTTCGCGTTGTTCTTTAGATGTGCATTCAAGTCCAGCCACAGGCATTTACAATATATTCTGTTGATCAGGCTGAAAATCAAAGATATGGCACGCTCACTTTTCAATTCAACCAAACACTTGATCGTTATATCCAGAATTTCCGCACACAAATCCAGCGGTATGTATTGAAGCGATTCGACTAATACTTCTTCGTACTCTAGTCGCCATATTATCTATAAATGTCATAATAATATAAATACACTAAATAATGATAATTTATAATTATTAGTAAAATTAATTGTCATGATTCAGTTTTTTAATTAACGATGCATTAAATTTAATAAATTATTTCGAAGATAAAATCAAAAGTAAGTATATATTCGTAAAATATGGTATATTATTAATTACAAATAATTAATAATATACAAATTACCTGTATGAAAAGATACGGCGATATATTAGGCCACATATTCACTTTGTGTCCATTCGCAAAGTCCATTTGAAGATAGTCCTGTGAGGGAAAACTGGTATTCAACAGAAGATAGTTGTAGCACTGTACGACGATCCATATCCTACTAAAACTTCTTTTATCCTTTTGTCCATCCTCTGAGATTCCTATGGGAATTTTGCATTTTTTAAAAATATCAACAATACCTTGCATCAGTTCGTTGATAAAAAATGAGGTTTCCTCCGTCGTTCGAGAAGTGATATAACATAGTTGGCCGAACAATTTCCGTTTACTTATTAAAAGTTCCTTCATACACCAGGAAAAGTTTGCAATTTTGTCCATTTTCGGCAGATGCTTGATAATGTATCCTAAACAAGTATCATAAACAGATGAACAAAATATACAAGATAATATAACATAATATAAAATGTGAATATTTGGGCTTACCAAAATTTTCTATTTTACAGACACTTCTCATTCAAAATTTACTGTCATGAATATATCGTCATTGTAACATAAATCTGCCGGAACTTTTTAGCGCTTCTACCAAATTTATTCGTATTTTACGTGTTTGTCGTAATGCGTAGAATACTTTTTTAATATTTATTTAAACTCATTACATATAATGCAAATATTCAAAATTAGATTCAACACGATTCAACGATCTCAATAATGCTGTTTCTATTCTGTTTCACTTCTAAAACGACTTGCAAATGCTTCACAATCAGTGATACTCGATTGACTTTGAACGTGATTGTGTTTCTCCTCAATGTCAGACAAACCAAAACGAATGCCCACCTGCTGGTCAGTTAATAACGAAGTTTGAAATTGAATCAAATAAACAGTAATTAATATATATATATATATATTTGAATCACAATAAAAATTATATACTTGTAATAAGCTAATTTATGTCGTCATTCTAAAACGCAAAATATAATATTCCCATTGCAAAAATATCGAATTTATTACGTATAATTAAACGTAACTCAGTTTATACAATGATAAAAATTGAACATTTGTGATTAATGAGAAAGACGCTATTAAGCTATATACACATGCTATATACGCATGCTATATACGCATGCATATATTTTAAATAAAATTCTTTATATCTTATTTCGCATTTCTCGCACATGTATTTCATTAACCAATCATCGGTTCATTATGTATATTTACATATGTTAAATATACAAGGTAGA